TTCTTATCACCTCCGCATCTGTGGCATCTGACACTGGGACCTTTTTTTCTGTCCTTCTCTGCCTACCACTCTTCTTTTATTTAATTATATTTATGTGCCACCGAAAGGAGACCTGGTTTCACAGTGGTTAGTGCTTGGATGCTAACGGAAAGGTTGGTGACTTGAACCTACCAGCTGCTCCATGGGAGAAACATGTGGCAGTCTACTTCCATAAAGATTACAGCCTTGGAAACCCTATGGAGCAATTCTACTCTGTCTTACAGGGTTGCTATGAGTTGGAATCAACTGGATAGCAGTGGGTTTTCTTTTTTGGCTTTTTGTTTTTTGTGGTTTTGTGCCACTGAAAAGTAAACCTTAGATGCCTCACTGTCCTTAGCAATGGAGTCGTGCCTCTATTGTAGGCAAGAGAGGGGAGTCACACAGTAAACTGAACCAGATACTTTAAATTTTAGAGTCAGACACACTGAGTTCAAATCCCAATCCTGCCACTTTTTACTGAGTGGCTGAAGCAAGTTAATCCATTTCTCTGGTGCTTCATTTCATTTATCTCTAAAAAAGAAATCGTAAAGCCTCCTTCACAGATAGGCTGTGAAGGTGATACATATCCACCTCCTCCAGCCTGGCAGCGGGGGTTTTCCTGGCTCCGCTGAAGCACAGGGAACAGCCCAGAAGCTCTGGAAGTGTCTGCTCCCCACTTTCTCCCCAGATTTACCTCACCCCACCCCCCAAATCCAGCATTTGTTGCCCGGACAATCAGCTGCCAAGCTGTGCCTGAGTCTCTCCGTGGACTCATTTGATATGTTGCCACTTTGTTTCTGAAGAAAAGCCAGTATCAGTGCCGGGGCCCTGGGGAGACAGATCCTGTCACTGCCGACTGCCAGACGGATTCCGTCTCTCACATCCTGCCCGGGGTCCCAGGTGATCCCGTTACAGAGTGTCTCTCACCAGACAGCTGCCACTGGGTCCCTGTGGGGACCAGGACAGCAACCCTCAAGTCCTGGGGACCAGCAGAATGCCCTGAGCACAATTCTGCAGTTCTGTTGAAAGGCTGGTAGTGATGTCTACCTTTCTTGATAAGGGTAATCCTTCTTAGAACAACAGCCAGAGAGCTCCAGACCCTGTCGTGCAGAGAGAAGGGGCAAATTCCCATTCAGTGAGCTCTTCTGGAGTCCCTGGGTGGTGCAAATGGTTACTGAACTCGGCTGCTAACTGAAAGATTGGTGGTTTGAGTCCACCCTGAGGCACCTCAGAAGAAAGGCCTGGTTATCTACTTTTGAAAAATCAGCCATTGAAAACCCTACGGAGCACAGTTCTACTCTGACACAAATGGGTTCACCATGAGTCAGAGCCAACTTGATGGCAACCGCTTTTTGTTTGGTTCCTGTGTTCTAGGCACTGTAGGAGGAATTTACTCATGTTAACACCCACCCAGCCTTGCAATCAAGGACTTATGACTCTTTGTGATGGTTAATTTTATGTGTCTGCTTGGGAAGACCATGGTGCCCTGCTGTTTAGTCAAACACTAGTCTAGATGTTGCTATGAAGGTATTTACATGTGATTAACATTTAAATCAGTTGACATTCATCAAAGCAGATTGCCCCCCATAATGTTGGTGAGCTTCATCCAATCAGTTGAAAACCTTAAGAACAAAAATGGAGGTTTCGCTGAGGGAGATGAATTCTGCCTCAAGACTGTAAATAGACATCGTGCCATAATTTCCCACCTGCTGCCTGGCTACCAGTTGTGCACTTGCCAGCCCCCGCAATTGCGAGAGCCAATTTCTTAAAATAAATCTCTCTGTATATAAAACCGTTACCAACAAGCTGATGCTGACTCATGGTGACCCCATGTGTCAGAGTAGAACTCTGCTCCACAGGCTTTTCAGTGGCTGATTATTTTGGAAATAGATTGTCAAGCCTTTCTTCCAAGGTGCTTCTGGGCGGACTCAAACCTCTAAGCTTTACATTAGCAGCCAAGCGTGTTAACCATTTGCACCACCCAGCATATTGTGTGTGTGTGTGTGTGTGTGTATGCATATACACACAAACATGCTTACATATGTACATACATACATACATGTGTGTATATATATCATTCAGGGTTCTATTTCTCTGGAAAACCCTGAATAAGACATCCTGTTTTACAGATGAGAAACCAGAGTTGCACAGGTACCAGTTCTAATGCCCACAACCACTGGAATTTTTATCTGCCTTTTACATATGGAAAAACTGAGGCTCAGAGACGTTAAACAACTTGTCCATGGTCGTGCAGCTGGAAGGGAACAAGTAGGATTTCAGTCTGTTTAACTTAGCGATCCATTACAACTTGTCACCACTGAAGAACAGTGTAAATAACAGGGGAGAAGGCATAGTTGAGAGGGAGAAAGAGCGTGGGCATGTGATCCTGCTGTTTGTTACCTTGACTAGGCTGGAAGGAGTGGTCATTAGGTAGGAAATCTGGGTGACTCTAGCTGACCACTCCCCCTTTCTGTGTTAGAAAAACATAACTCCCCAACTCTTACCCTCCTGGAAGAGATGAATTGGGAATGAGTGTGATAAAAAGTATCTATGAAGTTTGTTGAATTTGCTGAACTCAGAAACAGTATCTTTCAGGAAAAGGTTTGAATCAGAACTTGGCAACTGATAGCCTGCAGGCCAAATCTAACCTGCAGAGATGTTCTGGTTTGCTCAAGGTATTCTATAAAACTTTATACAGTGAATCCTGTGAGAGCTGGAGTCAATGGGACTGCCTGTTTTTCTGAGTCTCGCAAGTTTTCCACCTTTGACAGGGTGCAGTCTTACCTCTTTTCTATCGCTTGTTTTAGTGGAAAGTATTTGAGTTTTCCTTCTCTGGCAGCTTTCTGCCTTACACAGTGTCATGGATTGAATTGTGTCCCCCAAAAATATGTGTATCCATTTGGCTAGGCCATGATTCCCAGTATTGTGTGATTGTTCACCATTTTGTCATCTGATGTGATTTTCCTATGTGTTATAAATTCTATCTCTATGTGTGGATGAGATGGATTAGCGGTGGTTATGTTAATGAGGCAAGACTCAATCTACAAGATTGGATTGTGCCTTGAGCCAATCTCTTTTGAGATATAAAAGAGAAGAGTGAGCGGAAAGACATGGGGACCCCATACAACCAAGAAACAAGACCCAGAATATTGCATCCTTTGGACCTGGGGGTCCCTGTGCTGAGAAGCTCCTCAACCTCGGGAAGATTGATGACAAGGACCTTCCTCCAGAGCCAACAGAGAGGGAAAGCCTTGCCCTGAAGCTGATGCCCTGAATTTGGACTTGTAGCCTACTAGACTGTGAGAGAATAAATTTCTCTTTGTTAAAGCCATCCACTTGTGGTCTGTCTGTTATAGCAGCACTAGATGACTAAGACACACCAGTTCTGGATTTTGCAGGTTTAACTGTAATTGCTAACACTTTAATAGGCATCCTTGGGTGCCACAACTTGTTAAGCACTCGACTACTAGCAGAAAGTTTGGTGGTTCAAACCCACTTAGAGGCACTTTGGAAAACAGGCCTGGCAATCTGCTTCCAAAAGGTCACAGCCTTGAAGACCCTATGGAGCAGTTCTTTGCACACAGGGGGTCACCATGAGTCGGAATGCACTCGATAACAACTAACAACAACAACACTTTAATTGCTAACATGTTAAAAGTTCAGCAAGTTCACATAAAAGCCCAGACTTCTGAATTCTCTTGAAATTCTTGAATTTCTTGAACACTATTGAAAAATCAAAAGTTCTAGCAACCCTGGGCCTCCATCCCCTCATTGCTGCCATTGACTGGAGTTGAGCAGCATCTGCTCCCTTCGCTGGGAAGTGCCTTCCGGTTTGCTGCAGTCCCCACCACTCCCTACTATCCTGTGGTATGGAGTGCCAGTCTCCCTGCCACATCGCTCTCCTTCTGCTAGTTTTCTTATACTAGAGGTAAGAGAAGATGAATGTTCTTAAGCTCTAAAAAATGGGATAAATAAGAAAGCAAGAAGGGAGAGTACATATTTCTTTGTAGAAATAAAATGTATTTCTGTGCATGTTTTTTCCACGTTGTTGTTTTTCGAGCAGCTTTAGGTTTACAGAGATACTGTGCAGAAAGCACAGAGAGTTCCCACATGCCCCCTCTCCCTCCCGCTCACTGTTTCTTCTGCTGTTAACATCTTGCATTCCGGTAACACATTTGTTGCAATTGATGCACCAAGACTGATACATTACTATGGACTAAAAAGTCCATAGTTTATATCAGGGTTCTTCTCTTCATGTTGTAGGTACAGTCCTATGAGTTTTGACAAGTGCATGTTACGTGTCCACCATTATAGTATCATACAGCGTAGTTTCACTGACCTAAAAAGTAACTTTGGACATGTTAGCAGGAGGGACCAGTCCTTGGAGAAGGACATCAGGCTTGGTAAGGTAGAGGGTCAGCGAAAAAGAGGAAGACCCTCAACAAGATGGATTGACCCAGTAGCTGCAATAATGGGCTCGAACACAGCAACAATTGTGAGGATGGCACAGGACCAGGCAGTGTTTTGTTCTGTTGTACATAGGGAGGGAACCGACTTGACTGCACCTAACAACAACAACAAAAAATGCCCTGTGCTCTACCTCTTCATCCCTCCCCGCTGCCCCTGGACCCCTGGCAATAACTGATCTTTTTACTGTCTCTATAGTTTTGCCATTTCCACAATGTTATTTCTGCATTTTTAATATGCAAAGTACATCCCACTGAAGAGATACAACCAAAGAAGCAAACCTGGCCCTCCTCACTCGTTTTTGCTTCTCTGTGATCCTTGTTGGTATGTGACTTTAACCCGCTTTTAACCATTGTTTCAGACAGCCTCTGCTGCAGCTGCCCAAAGAGAGGTGGGCCTCAGCAGGATGGGTTGGCAGGCTCACAGCCAGGACTCTTCTCCAGACTGGTTCGCATGCTCTAGCACCCACCAAAGCTTTGCCATCATCATTTCATTACTTTTTTTTTCTTCTCTAGGTGTTCCTTTCCCAAAGAACTTCCTTCAAATCTGCAAGAAGATCCTATGCCGCCTTTTTCGGGTCTTTGTCCATGTCTACATCCACCACTTTGACCGGGTCATTGTGATGGGTGCAGAGGCCCATGTCAACACCTGCTACAAACACTTCTATTACTTCGTCACAGAGATGAACCTCATAGACCGCAAGGAGCTGGAGCCCTTGGTGAGTGTCACTGTGCAGCTGTGGTCCCCGAGTTACCTCAGGAGCTCAGCCATTTGTCACACTACACGCCAGACCCGTGGAAAGTGCTCACTGAAGGTTAGCTGTTAGTTGGAGGGTTGCAGAATTGGACAGGGATAAGAGGTGAGCTAGGAGATGCCAAGATGTCCAGGGCCACCCAAAGCAGTGTCCTAGAGTGCTCTCTGAAAGGTGGCAGAATGCAGTGGGAATATAACGGTTTGGAGCAGATGGAGTGGCTTTGACTCCTGGCTCCAAAATCAGTCACCTATTTATTTAATCCTTTAAATGGGCATCTTTGATCTCTCATGCTGCTAATCAAAGATGATCAGAAACAATTTCTTCAGTCAGTAAATAAATATTTAGCACGTACTGTGTGTCAGCTGCTAACATAGAAAGTCAAGTAAAACTGCCTTTGAGAAGCCTTTACTGCAGAGATTACTAGTGCCATCCAGTAACTCCTACTCACGGGGACCCCATGAGTGTCAGAGTAGAACTGTGCTCCACAGGGATTTCGAAGGCTGATTTTTTAGAAGTAGATCACCAGGCCTTTCTTCTTAGGTTCTTCTGGGTGGACTTTGACCTCCAACCTTTTGGGTAGTAGCTGAGTGCATTAACCATTTGCACCACCCAAGGACTCCATTCCAGAGAATGGAGTAAACCAAAATGAGAATTCAGCGTCCTAAAGACTTTACTTTTCATACTGAATCTCCTGTGATGTAGGAATAGAAAATAAAACTTCAGTATTATTGTTTAGATGAATAAGACTCCTTTTATTCTATTCATAGGCTACTTTTACAGTTGGACTCGTGCTTTAGAAACCAAGGACCCCTAAATACCCCACCACCCTTTGTAATGTGTGGTATCTTAATGTGGATGCCTTTGTCTCACCTATTTCTTGTTGACTCAGTTGAGTACTTTCTTAGCCAGTATAATACAGTGCTTTATAAAAAAAAATGCTGTTTTCTTGAAACAGTTTAAGTAAGTGGCAGTTTTGCTAAATATAGCTGACAGAGCAACTAAACTTCACCCAAGTCCATTCGAATAATGGCCAAAATGCTAGGGCCAGGCTACCCTCTTTTGCCACCCTGTTCCCCTTTCTCTTTATGTACAATAATTGTATATTGCAAAGAAGTGTTGCATCGCTCAAGAGTTCTGGAACAAAGTAAGATTTTCGAGGCACAATTGAGATGTCTCTTACATCCAAAGAAGAGCGAATTTTCTTCATTTTACATACACAACAGCTTTTTAGAAAGCTCTCTGAGGGCAGAAACTGAGTCATCACTGAACTCAGCTGGACAACTAAGATGGAAAGGAGCAAAAAAGCATCAATAGCTGGGTTTTGCTACTTTATCCTTTATAAAGGCTGTTATGGGTGAACAGCCAGTACAAGATCTATAGGGAAGAAAGGTTGTGAAAACAGCTCAAGGTAATTTAAAAGACTCAAAAGTGTTGACAAAGTTAATTTCAGAAAATGTTAAGGACAAAGAAAAAGTGGCCAGAGGCCATATAAATGAAGAGGGTGGAAAAACCACTGCGAATCTTCTGGAACATGGTTCTGCTTCTCAGGGCTTTTAGTTCAGTCCTCATCCATGGAGGAGGTAGAGGGAAATTATTCTTCTTAAAGGCCCTACAGAAGGAACAGAGATTCTGCTAGGCACTCACACTTTTGGCTTCGCTGAGCTAAAGGAGCAGAAACCTCTGATGAGTGTAGCTGAAAGTCGATTTCTCCTTTATGCACAGAAGAAAAAAGGCCATTGTAGCATAAAGTTAAGCATAAGTTACCAAGTAGAGAAAGTCTTTCTTTGCCATCAAAGGACTCTCAGTTCATTTCTATAACTGAAGACTCTAACACCTGGCAGTGCCAGGAGCTGACTTGAAGGGAAAGGCCCCAAGAAGTCAATATGTTAGAAAAGAGCTTCTTTGCGGGCCTGAGAGACCAACCAAGATTAGACTAACCAGGAATTATTGGCCATGAAAGTGAACAAGAATGGTGCTAGTTTTTCCCCTAGAAGCTTATATTTCTTTAAATCTTGCTTGAAACAGTATCTTTTCTACATTTATGTTTTGTTAATTATAATTGCAGGGAAATTAATTTTAATGTTTTTAAATATTAATAATAACTTTTATTCTTTAAAAAATGCTTATTTGCCTGAAATTATGTATTTGCTTTACAAACCAAAACCTATAAAATGACGGTAAAAGGTATTGAGAATGTTTATGAGGACAGTAATTAAATAATTCAGGCAAATTTTGGTGTCCACTAAGAATCCTATAACTGTAGATTTGTACTGCTGAAATGAGAGCTTTTATTTCCATAGTTGATGGTGTTAGAATACCTGACTTCTAAGCCTGGTGTTACAGTGCATCTATTAAAATCAGTCTTAGCATATCAAATCAACCCATTTTTATTTGATTTGCTTACCCTGAATACCTTATAGATGCAAAGCAAGTTGCTTAGATGTTCTAAGTGCATAAGAAATATATGCTCTCAAGAAATTTACAGTGCAGTTGGAAAAATATAAAAATAATGAATGTCACCCATCTCTGGCCCTTGAAGGATGATGAAGTCAGGCATTTAGCTTCACATTCTAGTTGTACGTTCTTTAGAATCTAATGTAGCTAGGGGCCAGAAGGACAGCATCTGTCTGGCCAGATTCCTTTAGAAGATCAGCATTCCCAGAGTTTCCACTTCTCCAGTGGGACATTCCTGGTGTCCTCCTTTGGGATTCCATAAGAAATCAGAGACCCACTTCATATTTCTCTCTGCCGTGCTTCCACCATTCACAGTCACACCCCTCTGCTCCCAGAGCCCACAGTGTGGCTTTTGTGTGATGCTGACTGAGCATCCAACACATTAGTTAAGGATCCAGTGCCCCATAAAAGTAGGAGATTCAGTATCATACAGTTCTTCTGACTAGGCTCAGACTCATTATGTTCAAACCTGGACCTTCATTTACTAACTTGTAACCATGGGCAAGACACTTAGCTTCTCAAAGCCTCTATTTTTATCATCCATAGAATGGATATGATAATAAAATTGTTGTAAAAATTAAATAGGTTAGTCAATGGTAAGCGCTAAAGAAATGTCTGCTGTAAAATGAGATCATGAATGTAAAGTAGCAGGCACATAGTAGACAGAAGTACCCTAACTCTTTCTTCCTTAACTCCCTTGGCCCTTTGCCATCTTAGTGATGTCCTAGGTAACCTCAAAGCAGGTGTAGTAAATTGTATTATTTTCAGACTCTTCCATGGGATTGTCCGCCTTTTGAGGGCTGGGGGTATACAGGACATAATGCCTGCATTGCCCGTGGTGCCTAGTGCGTAACAGATGCTTAATATAATCTTAAAATAATATTTTATTGTGTTTTTGGTGAAGGTTTACACAGCAGTTTAGGTTCCCATTCAACAATTTCTACACACGTTGTTCAGTGACATTGGTTACGTTCTTCACAATGCGTGAACATTCTCATTATTTCCGTTCTGGTTATTCTGTTTCCATTAATCTAGTTTCCCTGCCCCCTTACATTCTCATCTTTGTCTTAAAGTAATTGTCAACAGTTTGGTCTCATATAGGTGATTTTTTAAAGGAACACAGTACTTACAGGCGATATTCATTATGTTTTGGACCAATTTGTTATTTAGCTGCAAGGTTAGTTTCAGTTGAAGATTTGAAGAGTATCTCAGGACAATTGTCTCAGGGAGTCCTCCAGTCTCAACTAGTCCAATAGGACTGTTTTTCTTTTTTAGAATTTGAGATTCTGTTCCACATTTTTCTCCCATTTTATCAGAGTCCATCTCTATGGCCCTGATTAGAATGGTCGGTAGTGGTAGCCGAGCACCATCTAGTTCTTCTGGGGCTTAATACCTTTTTGACTTTGAAAAAATTACCTTAAGGATGATGCATCTACATTCAAAGGGGCTACATACCAGTCATTTCCTCCTTGGCATCACTCTCTTCTCAGGCCTGCAGACCTCCACTTACCCATTTCCTTGTTGGAAACAATGCTTCATCCTTTGAGATTAGCAATAGCGATTAAAAGCAAAATCAGGTACAGAGTAGTGAAGGGATGCATCGTAAGCCTTAGGTGTGACAGAGAAAGATGGGGCCCCAATTCCAGTCAGTCCTTGGCTCCAGATTCCAGATGGATTGCACAGGAATGGTGCATGCTCTCACACGGCCTGTGTGTCCTGGTATGACAAGCGTGGGTGACCAACCCTCCCTGTGATAGCATTGAAAGTCCTGTGACCAGGGAAAACCCTCAGTCCCAGGCAACCAGGGCCAGTTGGTGACCCTATCAGGCCTCTGAGTGGGAATCCAAGTTGGAATTCAGAAGCTGGGAAGAGGTCACCCTGGCCAGCAAGTCCACCCACAGCACTGGCCCTGGGGTCTGCTTATCAGCTACTGCAGCCTGGGAACCCAGGAAAACACACGACACGTCATTTGGTCTCCAACAGGGAGGGGGAGGCTGGAGCGCTGACACGGACCAACTTGAGAAGTCATCCATTTAAATGCAACGGCTGAAAATGACCCAAACTCAAGCTAGTCCACAGTTGGAGGAAACAAGCCCAAATGATCCTGGCAATTAGACTGCGGACTAGGCCTGACTGAACAAGCAGGCAGCTGTAGGCAGCCTGGGAGTCAGCTGACAGAATCTAGCTAATCAGAAGCATCATTAGCAAACACAAACAGCCAGCAGTGCTGTGTTGGCCTTCCACTGACAACAGAACAGACTTGCAGAGGGCTGTTAGCAATGCAGTAGCTGGTGAATAAAGAGCCCATTAAGGCAGCAGGTGGAGAGAAATTGGGAGGTGGGGAGGAGGCAGGAGAGCACTTGTTTATCCTAATACACCTGCTGACCTCTGAGTGACCTTCGTCTAGGGCCTTCACCTTCTCTCTCTGAGGCTCTGTTCCCCTGTTTTTAACAATGAAGGTGGTTCTACCCATCAGCTGCCTGGCAGAGATGCTGCTATGAAAACAGATGTTGCCAGACGGCTGTTCTGTTACCTTCTAGTAGGACTCTTGGACCATAAAAAAACAAAACAAACAAACAAAAATAAATAAAACAGTTATTGTCAGGTCAATTCCAACT